AAAAAAAAAAAAAAAAAAACTGAAAAAAAAGTGTCTAGAAGAAAGTTGGCCTATGAAGCTCACTGGTCGAAGGGTAAGAATTGAAAGACAACCCCAAAGCTGGAACAGCAAAAGAACTTTCCAGAAGCATCCTCTGCTGAAATGACTCAATTGCCCTTCCCCCTTCCATCAAGTCCTCCACAAACGAGAGGTAATATTTCTTGATCTTCTTCAGCATTAATTTCATGTACTTCACCCTCATCCATTTCAGCTTCGCCTTTCTGCAGAGCCTCGGGATGAAAAATCCGCGCTTTTTCCCGCCGAGTTGGGCGGTGGGGAGCCGCGGACGGCGGCGGCGGCGGAGGGTCCACCGGAAGGTGGTGGCGGGGTGGCGGTTGATGGGTGTTTGGTTGACGAGAGAATTGGTGTGTGAGGACATGATTTTCTTGTGGGTGAGGGAAAAAAGGGGGAAGTTTGACTTTGTTGGGATTCATGCGTTTTGTGTATATATAAAATTTTTGTATGTATTGACGTGGATGATTAGAAGGGCCCACTAGTAATTAGGCTTGAAAATGAACCGCTCGAATTTAGGGTGCTCGAGTTCCAGTCCTTAACGAGTAGAATCAAGTTCGGCTCTTTTAATAAACGAGCTTGAGCTCGAGTTCAGTTTGTTTCACAAATAACGAGCCGAATTATAGAAATTTGTATACAAAATTTCTTTTCGAACATAGCCAAACTCGACTCGTGAACCAAACTAGTTTTAAATGACTTCGAGCTCGTCTTGTTTTGCCAAACTCGAGCAGTACTGTATCAAAAAAAAAAAAAAATAACGTTTTACTAAAATAAAGGAGACATATAAACTATTAAATAGTGTATATATAATGATAGACTAGTATTAATACCCATGTACAATAAGGATATTGAGTTAACGAATATATGTGCAAAGTTATTTATGTCTAATAGCATAAATAATATAAAAACAACATCACGAAGTATAGATTTTCGCTATGTCAACATCCGAAGCGTGAGAATCTATTATCTAAGTTCTAACACGTTTTGAATTAATATATAGGGAGTGATTGTAACCAATGAGATAGAGATAGGCATTAAATTCATTCAAAGCTTTGCAATTTTGTTTCGAGGGATTTGGGGGATTGTGATATAATTTCACGGGGCCTCACCTAAAATTGCAAATCGACCCATATATATATAGGGAAATGTTATGGTCCCGTTACGGTACCATTCTGTCGGTGTTTTAACCGTTGGATCATTTATCTTATACTAACTACATGTGTATCCAACGGTTAAAACTCTTGATGGGACGGTACCGTAACGAGACTTTAGCATCTCCTATATATATATAGAGAGAGATATATATATATATATTTAATTTACTTTCTCTAATTTTACTTTATTTTGGATGGAGACGTTTTTGTTGTTGAATTAATCAAGTAGTCATACTTAGATGACGCTAGAAATAATAAATAATATTTAGTTGGTACCTTTTAATTTAATAAATGGTAATGATTTAGTGACCATTAATTTAATATATTTGCTCAAAAATAAATATTCATATGGGAAATTTTTAAAAAGTGTGACCGAAATATTATAATACCGAGACGATTGATCATATCTATATTTCTCTGTATTATAAAGTTTAAGATTCAAAGTACTAAGTACAACACCCGTGCTTGTTGAAAAATTATTTTTGAATTTAAAAATTAATGAAAAAAAAATATTTTAAATTTTATTTATTTTTTTACAAAGAATGTCTATTATTACATATTTTAGAATGATACTTGTTACTTGTGCAACTTACATGCGTTATTTCATTATTGTTATAAGGATAAATATAATTTATTTCTTTATACGTACAATATGGATGTTAAATCGAAGTTCATTAAGAGATGATTAATTTGAAATATTAGGTAAAAAATAAAAAAAAAAGTTATTAACTTTTAAAATGCATTTACATTTCAATAGTTATAATAAAAAATGATATCAAAATGCAGTTAATACATATACATGTAACATCACCACAAATAATCAACATATTTAAAAATAATCCGGATTTAATTATTTTTGGGTTGGAAGTAAAATAAAGATTTACCCAAACTTAATAACGAAGCATATAATTTTAGCAGATAGTGCAAACATGCTACTTAGACTCAGCACCGTTCTAAATTAATATATAGGGAGAATTTTTAAACTTCAACTTGATGGGTTGCGTTGAGCTCACGAATATTTTGTGTAAGGAGATTCAATTTTTTTTTTTAATGCTTAATTAAATTGAAATGAAAAAAAAAAAAATCGAAGATAAAAACGACAGACACAAAACAATTCCCATTAGTTTGATTTATAACCCTAAAATCAAAATTGTATTATTAATCTAAATGATTGATTAATCATTAGAACAGGTAAATTCCATCATTGAAAAGAAATTACGCGTATTTTATTGACATTTCTAATTATATCATTTTTTTTTTTTCCTTCTAAACTTACTTTAATTTAGTAGCTAGTGGTTTAGTTTTAGTCATTACAAATTAGATTACTCATCCATAATTTTGCTATAAAACCAACAGTTGGTTCTAAGTGGAGCCAATTTTTTATATATAACAAGTAAATCTAACATATTATCTGATTACTTAAATAACAATAGTATAATTTTATTAATATGGTAAGTGTATTTGTTGTATAGAAGGTTGGCTCCACTATGGAGTCAACTGTTGGCTTCACAGTAAAACCTAACTCTGGCTCTTAAACTTGATGAAACGAATTTCGCAGAAGCTACGAGGGAGTGGGCTTTTAGCAAGAAAAAATTTACACGTGAGCGACTCTAACGACTAGGCGGGTCTAGAGTTGTTAAACAAATTGAGTCGTTGTGTAATATCTTAGATTATGTTTAGTAAAACTGACTGATAAGCTATCTTATAGCTTATCTTTAATTTTAGAGCTTATAGCTCATGACTTAGGTTATGTTTGGTAGACAAATAAGCTAACTTATAGCTTAGTTGGTTAGCTTATAAGCTCCTTGTATTCAAATAAGTCTCGTTTGGTAGGACGAACTTTCTTAAAAAACTCGAGCTTATTTGATAAGCTTCCTTAGGTAGCTTTTCAAATAAAATAAGCTAGTTGAATTTTTTATTCCAATTAGCTTATCAGTTAATTTTACCAAATATTTTTATCATATAAGCTAGCTTATGAGCTATAACTCATAAGCTATAAGCTAAAAAATTAGTGATAAGCTATAAGCTAGCTTATCAACTAGTTTTACCAAAACATAGCGTTATAGTAGAAAAGCTAGTTTATATGATAAATTTAAGTGTTTGGTAAAATTAGCTGATAAGCTAGTTGGAATAAAAATTTTAACGAGCTTATTTGAAAAGCTACCCAAATAAATTTATCAAATAAGCTCAATTTTTTTTTTTTCGTCCTGCCAAACGGAATTTATTTGAATACAAGAAATTTATAAGCTAACCAAATAAAATATAAGCTAGCTTATTTGTCTACCAAACATTGTCTTAGTTCGATTCATAAAAGCTCGAACTCACTTATTTAAATGAGTCGAGCCGAGTGAATTTGTCTGCAAAAAGCTCTTATTTATTTGTGGTTTTTACTTTTAAATAGAACAATCGAGCCAAAAACTTGTTCGAGAATAACTCGTTTAAAATTGTAGATTTGTTAAACAAAAATGGACCGATTGAACTTTCATGAGCTTAAATGAACCGTCTCGTTTACAAAAATAACATAATAGCCATAAGCTCGCTAAATGAGGGAGTGATACTTGTATTCTGGGATATACCACCATCTTTTGCATATTTAGCTTAGGAGTCCTATGTAAATTGCTTTTTTTTTTTTTCCGAAACGATAGACTATGTAAATTGCTTACTCTTAAATTAATTTATTTATTAATTTGTTCTATTTATTTTTCCTATAGTTACATGTTATTACACATAACAAAAAAATGGAAAAATGCAATATTAAAATAAAATCATACCCAACCTATTTATAAACCAGTTATATTTCAAATAATAATGCATTTTAGGACCTGAAATATAAAAATAAATCATAAATCAAGCATCTATAAACATTTAAAAATTAGTATTTTGTAATTAAAAGAGACACTTCGTAGATGTGTAAAAAAGAAAAGGTTATAGGCGAATCGCATAATTTTCTCTCAATTACTACTACTACTACTGCTATTTTTGTACGATTTGGTTATTAGAAGATTAAGAAAATTACACTATTCACCTACCAATCTCTATTTGTTTACTAAAATCACAAAGTTTTTATTCTTAATTGCAATTACACTAACTTTCACGGCTTATAAATAGTTGATTTAAGATTTATTTTTATTATTAGATCTAAATTGCATTATTTTTTAGGTTATGGTTGATTTATCAATAGTTTGGGTATGATTTTGAAATTTAATATTAAATATTGTATTTTTCCAAAAATATGAAAAAGTTAAAAACGTATAGTAAAGTCGTAAAAATGGTTTTAAGATTTTTTAACCAACAATTAAGTTGGCCCAAACCTACAGATCTAATCCATATTCCGAATTCCAGCTTTCACACAGATCCACCCCACCTTTCTGTCTCAACAATGGCGGCTCCACCCATTTTCAGATCTTCCTTCCTCTCCACCAAACCCCCTCCGCAGGCCAGTCCCATCCCTCGCGCCGCCCCTCACGCCGCCTTCACCATCCGCGCCACCGCCACCTCCTCCGACCATCCTTCCCCCGCCGCATCCGCCTCCGCCCCGCTCAAGCACCGCCGCCCCGCGGACGAGAACATCCGCGACGAGGCCCGCCGCCGCGCCTCGTCCCACGGCTTCTCCGCCAAGTATGTTCCCTTCAACGCCGACCCATCCTCCACCGAGTCATACTCCCTCGACGAGATCGTCTACCGCAGCCGCTCAGGCGGCCTCCTCGACGTCCAGCACGACATGGACGCGCTCCGCAAGTTCGACGGCGAGTACTGGCGCTCCCTCTTCGACTCGCGCGTGGGCAAGACCACCTGGCCGTACGGGTCGGGCGTCTGGTCCAAGAAGGAGTGGGTCCTGCCCGAGATCGACGGCGACGACATCGTGAGCGCCTTCGAGGGGAACTCCAACCTCTTCTGGGCCGAGCGTTTTGGCAAACAGTTCCTGGGTATGAGCGATTTGTGGGTCAAACACTGCGGGATTAGCCACACGGGCAGCTTCAAGGACCTGGGCATGACCGTCTTGGTCAGCCAGGTCAATAGGCTCCGTAAAATGAACCGACCATTGGTGGGCGTTGGCTGTGCCTCCACGGGTGACACGTCTGCCGCCCTATCCGCCTACTGTGCTTCCGCAGGAATCCCATCCATCGTTTTCCTTCCGGCCAATAGGATCTCAATTGCCCAGCTTGTTCAGCCAATTGCAAACGGTGCGTTTGTTCTGAGTATCGATACTGATTTCGATGGCTGTATGCAGTTGATTCGTGAGGTCACGGCCGAGCTGCCTATTTACCTGGCCAATTCATTGAACAGCTTGAGGCTCGAGGGCCAGAAAACTGCCGCAATTGAAATTCTGCAGCAGTTTGACTGGCAGGTGCCTGACTGGGTGATTGTCCCTGGTGGAAACCTTGGAAATATATATGCCTTTTACAAAGGCTTCCGAATGTGCAAAGAACTCGGGCTCGTGGATAGGATTCCGAGGCTCGTGTGCGCTCAGGCCGCGAATGCTAATCCTCTTTACTTGCATTACAAATCGGGTTGGAAGGATTTTAAGGCTGTTAAGGCCGAAACAACATTTGCCTCGGCCATTCAGATTGGGGACCCGGTTTCTATTGATAGGGCAGTTTTTGCCTTGAAAAATTCAAATGGGATTGTTGAGGAGGCAACTGAGGAGGAATTGATGGATGCCATGGCACAGGCGGACTCGACTGGGATGTTTATCTGCCCCCATACTGGTGTGGCTTTGACTGCACTGATTAAGTTGAGGAATAGTGGAATTATTGGGCCCACAGATAGAACAGTCGTGGTGAGTACGGCTCACGGACTGAAGTTCACACAGTCCAAGATCGATTACCATTCGGGGGAGATTAAGGATATGACTTGCCGGTATGCAAACCCGCCCGTGCAGGTGAAGGCAGATTTTGGTTCGGTTATGGATGTGTTGAAGAAATATCTACTCAGCAAGGATTCTTGAGAAGGGGACTTGGTAGAGTGTTGTGTTTTGTGCTCCTGTATCTCATGTTGCTGTAAAGCAAGCAAAGCAGGTTAGCTGCGGTAGTTTCGTTATGATTGCTGTTTTTTGTTCTTGGGCTTATGCTGATTAGAAGTTATGTTAGTTTTTTCCTGGATGGATTTTTATAAGTGATGTGTACCGGTAGCTGGGTTTTGACTATGAAGAGCTGTATCTGTGACAGAATGTGTTGGGATTTCTGTTTTAATAAAACTAAGTTTATGAATTGATTGGTTGCTTTAGAGCTTTTTAGCATCTGTTTTTGTGCGGGGTTTGTATTTGGTTCCATTTTGCTCCGTGTAACTGGGAATTTCTGTGTCCCTGAATCGTGTTGTGCTTTGTGATGGTTGTGCCATTCATGAATATTGGAGCCTATACATGGAAATAAGTACCAATAAGGACTTATCACCTATGGCACAAGCTATGCCCAAATTAAAACAATTCACTCACTGGGAAAGAAATTTCAAACAAATACATTATTTAAGTTCATGGATAGAAGACTATCTGCCACGAACACACTGGTCAATGAAAGACTTGAATTTTCCTCTCACATCAGATTTTATCACCAACTCTTCTCTGTAGTAGTGAATGATCTGTTTTCTGCTTCTTCAAATCTGTTCTTTGCCCACTTTGGATAATAAAAAGAAGATACCATGTATATTTTGATATTCTCCATCGTCTTGGATATACAAAGATCCTCGTTCAGCTTCAAAACCATCTTACAGTAAGTTATTTCCTGCAACGAAGATAAGCAAAATTACTATCCAGTATCCATTAAAATCCAACATTAACTTCTGTTAGAAACAGGGTATTTGATATTTAACAAGGTTTGCCTGATTTGAACTTGAAAGTTAGGTCTAGCCAAGATTTCCTCCGGAACTTGGTTTTCCGGGTTGAGAACAACTTTCACCTGAAGACATTCATTCCCAAATCCCAAGAGCTTCATGTTCCTCCACCATTTCCTTCACAGATATGATGGCAGAATCCATACATCTGTCCAAATTCAATAGATTTAAGTGTTGGTATATCCCCTATTTCCTCCAATGGGATCTTTGACCACCGTCTAAGCCTAAATATTCCTCAATGACCGATAGCGTACAAGTACCGTGAAGGAAAGGTGAAAGCTTCACTCAGCTCTTAAAGACGAGTCAAATTGAATCGAACCGCTCCGTGGGCATTATCATTGTGACTTGTCGGTATATTCCCTATTTCACCCCATGTACATTGGTTGTCTGATTGTTTTACTTCAACTCATATCTTGAATTTCAAATAAGTGACCGCTATAAATTTGCAGCTGGACATTTCTTTGACTGAACTCGTTCAACTGGACGTGCCTAAGCTGGGTCATCCTCCAACTGTCTAGTGGCGGTTGTTATAAATTACAGTTTGTCCGATTCACGACTAGTGTCAGTAAATTCCATATCCCTTAAAGTGAGGAAGGGAATCCCAACCCCAGCACTTTAGCTGCAATGGCAAGATGGCGCGTGTCAACTGGCTGAAAAACTTCTTCTAGGGAACACTCACCGCTCCATCTTCTAAGTAAGTGCTCATCGAGTTTACCGATCACATTCAGCACACTCAACAATATAAGAGCGCGAATCGATACAGCTTCTTTCAAGAACATATTTGATGATACTTGTCTTTGATAAATTAGAATATAGGTGTATGCTATACATGGAATTCACTAATTATAAGCTCTATAACAGCTTTTGTGATTGAGGTGCAACTGAAGATGCTCAAACACTGGATTCTTTATTACATTGAACGATTGTGAACGTGGGTAAGAGAGTTCTCCGCCTCATCTTGCTAAAACACATTTCATGTCTTAAAGCGACCGCTTTCTTCAATAGAACTGGTGACATACATAGTGAAAGCGTGTTAAAGCAAGGGTCACACAGCGAACAAAAAATGTTGAAGCGAGGTTCGATGCATTTGAAAAATATGATTCAATTTTATTGAGGAAAGACAGCAAGCGAGTTGAACAATGCATCTGAGAGATATGATTCGCTTTTATTGAGAAAAGACAAGCAGCGAGTGATCATCCCACTAAGCTCTCTCCTCGTAATTGGGTCTGCAAGCGCAGTGTAGCTTCAATCTCAAGCCCCACATTTCCAAGACCCTCATATTCGTCGAGTATCTCCTTTGCAGAGAGCACGACAGAGTCTGAACAATCGTGTATCTTGATCCACCTAATCCTCGGTAAATCCCCTATTCCCAAAGGTATCTCCTTCAGCTCGTGTAGGTACATTAGTTCGAGACGCTCGAGGCTCGGGAAGTGCGTGGGCCCTGCTATCCAGCACTCCAGATCCCAGCAGTTGGAGATGCCCAAGTATTTCAGGCTCCGTAATCCGCCCTCAGCTGTTTTCCACTCGGGCCCCACAAACGAATGTATATCTAGCTGGAGCGCCTCGAGATATGGCAATGGGCCTATTTTTGTCGTCATGTCCTCCCAGCCGAGGCGCGTGCCTTCCAGAGTCAGCTTTTTCAGTGAAACAGGGAACGCGATCAAGTCCCTTGCCAGCTCACTTTGCCTCGGCACCCCGGGCCAGAGAAAAGAACATGAAAGGACTTCCAACTTGCGTAGCCAGCTGAGATTGTTGAGGCCGTGGTTTGGTGACAAGTCTTCGATTTTCTCGTAATCTATTCCCAACTTTTTGATATTTGGGATTTTCTTAACCATTTCTTCACCGCACGTGAAGTTATATACGGTCTCGAGCGTTTCAAGACTGTACATGACCACTGAACCATTTTCTTCCTCCACGGTAGGAGGATCTGTGAGCTTGAGCATGTCTACCTTGACACGTACGAGTTGGGGCATCTGCCAAATGTCGAGCACAGGCCAGTTACGGTCATTACAGTGTTCGTTCCAGTCCGAGTTAATTATTAGGGTCCGTAAGTTCCAGAGCCGGTAAATTGACTGAGGAAACTCACGCGCCGGCAGTTTAGCTACGATGGCCAAGTGGCGCGAGTTAACGAGATGAAAAATATCTTCGAGTGGGCGCGCGCTCCAGCTGCTCGAGCTCTCGTCGAAAAATTCGAATTCATCTACCGAGTGCAGAACCCTCAGCAATCTAAAAGGAATTACCGAAGGTAAAGCTCCGTCGACATTACATGTCAGAGTACGAGCGCGTGATGCAGATTGTACGACTTCAGGAAGCGGACGAGGAATGTATTCTTTTTCCGATGTGGATTGGTGAATGCCGATACGGCGTTGGGCGAGCCAGCTTTGACCGAGGTCAAGGCCAAGGCCGCCCGTTGTTTCCATCGTGCGTAGGAATTTGCATTTCTCGGCTTCTTTTATGCATAGGTCCCTCAGGAGATCGTGGATAGTGCAGCGTTTTATTTTTCTTGTACGGCCCGTAGTATGAATCTGGACAAGATTTCTAAGGACGAGATCATGTAGGCACAGTTCTCTGGCAACTGTTTCCAAGCTTTGGCTCTTACCTTCGACACGACTCACGAATCCTTCGGCAACCCATAGCTTGATGAGTGTCGGGACGTGAATCTTGTGATCCTCTGGGAAAATCCCCATGTAGAGAAAACACGGTTTTAGATAGATCGGTAGTTGATTGTAGCTCAGTTGCAGTATCTTAAAGCAACGCTCCCCGTCCTCTGAACTCACAATCGAGCTCAAATTTTCCGCAACGTGTTGCCAGTGTTGGCTTGTTCGTTCGGACTTCGCCAAGAGTCCTCCGATCACGACAATGGATAATGGGAGGCCTCTGCAGTTTTTTGCAATGTTCTTACCGATCTCTTCAAGTTCTGGAGGGCACTCTTCTTCCCGAAACACGCATCTACGGAGCAGATTCCAGCTTCTGTTGTGATCCAGAAAATTCATGAGAATGAAATCCTGAGGATTCAGTTGAACACCGATTTTCACCAGCCTGGTGGTCATCAAAACTCTGCTCCGGTTATTGTTCTCCGGAAAGAACGGCTTCACTTTATCCCAAGCTTCGATATCCCACATGTCATCCATCACAATTAGGTATCGTCGGCCAAATAAGCATTTATATACTTTCTCTCCTAGCTCTTCTTCGCTCATTTGGCCCAACTTGTCCCCGCTTTTCAAACAGAGAAGGACTTCTAACAGAATCTCTTTCGAATTGTACTCTTGAGAAATTGTAGCCCATCCACGAACATCAAAGTATTGCACGATGAGCGGATTTGCGTAAATATTTCTCGCAAGAGTGGTCTTGCCAATCCCGCCCATGCCGCAAATCGGGTAGATTTGGCGTCCGGAATTTTGGCCGGTCAGCTTATCCATAACGTAGTTCATGACACCATCAAAGCCCACCATCAAAGAAGAAGAAGAAGAAGTTTTTGAAGAAGGAGAAAAAGAAGTTCTTGATGAAGAAGTTCTTGAAGAAGAAGAACCCTCCTCGATTTTCTCGGCCTTCTCTTTAATATCAGTCGCGTCTTTTGCGATGGAATCAAAGTCATGCATCACTTTTTGTAACGTTCGGAACAACGAGTCATCATTTGTAGTGATGCTAGCTTTGCCAACACGATCGGCTATACGGGATTCGATAATATCCTCAGCCTCGTAAGCTGCTTCAGCCATACGCTCCTCCAAGGCATCATTAGTATGTTTATGGAGAAAATATAGCAAGAAATTAACCTTTTCGATTAGAGGTTTGATTTGAAGGTTGTCGAGGGAGATCGGCGGGCGAGGATGGTTTTGGATTTGGTCTATGGTGTGCCTAAGAGAAAGCAGAGCTCCAAAAGCTGCCATGGATGAAGCAATAAAGCTAGGAAGATTTTTCTCAAAGACTGGGGGAGAAGAAGAACAAGAACAAGAACAAAGAACAAGGAACTGTTAATGATAAACACCAATAAGTGAGTGGACCTACATGTACCCACTAGCTTTAGTAACTTTCGGTGTATGTTTTGATCATTTTAAAATATGAAGAAAGTGGAAATTAGAAAAAAAAAAAAGTTGTGCTGCAACTAGACCTGGCCAGGGGCCGCCCGGCCCGGACACGACCCAGCCCGGCTAACGGGCCATTGACCCGGCACGAGTATAGGTCCGTGCCGGGTCTGGGTCATTGTTTTCGAGCCCGGCGACTCAGCCCGGGTATTGGCCATGTCTATCTGCAACCATTATAAAATTGTTGATAATTTCCAAATTCACCCTTTGGAGCCCTTTGTTTTAAACTAGTATTTTTTAAGTTATAAACAACTTGGCAATATGAGACAGTTAAAGCATTACATCCAATCAATTGATCTGCCCCATGCTTGTGAACATCATTAGCATGCAAGAAAGTGAACATTTCTTGATGAAAGATTCAATTGTGATAATGATCATTACATTGTTTTTAATTCAACTGTTTTTTGATAAAACATTAATTAGAATTTTACTGTGTTTTTGGACTTTGCAATATGGAAATCAATTATATCCTCTGCTTCGTAAGCTGAATTAGATATACTTATATGTGAATAATTTTCAAAAAAACTTGTTGGAATATCACTTGTGAGTTGTCCCACATAAATTTGATAGGGTAAATGAGTATAGTTTATAAGCCTAGTGGGCTACTCATCTCTTCACCAATTTGTTTCGGGATGGAACCTCACTTGGGCTTCATTTGAAATAACCCTTTTATGGCACACTTCGCATGTGTGGGACTGTACTCGTTTTGTCCTCGGTTTGAGAAAACTCTTGCAAGAAAGTAAGGCTCTCTGTTATGGATTGAATTTGCAGTTTCTGAAGAGAAATTGGAGGGAGGGGATGGCTCTGTATCTGCTTGATGGGTATGCATAAGAGAAGCTAGAGCTGCATAAGATAAGCTGCCAACTCTCTCAGGCAAAGTCCAGGCAGCTTTTGGTAACAAATGTGCTATCCACACATTTTATTTTATATTTTATTTTATTTTATTTTATTTTATTTTATTTTATTTTATTTTTTTATTTTATTTTTTTGCGTGTGTCTGTGTGTGTGAAAATTCTCTCTTTTTTGGTAAACTGGTTGAGAAGGATTGATGAACTTTTTAGGACCTGTCATTATGCTTTTTGGAAAATTTTCCCTCCATTATTGCATAATTCAATCTAAGACATGTTTGTTGGATTAGTCATTGTTGGAAATGCTCGCCTACCCACTGTGGTCACATTTTACCAGCCACGTATCAAAATCTCGTGTCCTATGTGTATATGGTATGTTAATCTCTGGTTGGAATATTAACCCGTGTCCACAGTTTGCAAGAGCTGGACTGTGTTGCTAAATAGGATTATAAGACAATCAATTTACACAAAATGAATACCAATGACTATCCACCTTGCAGCAACCATGTTAGTAACACATTTTCTGGAAAATTTATTTGGTAGGATACAAATTTTGAGCTGAAATACTTCAATGTTCCCAAGATCAATCCACTTGTTCCTTTACTATATATGTTAGCAGAAACTCCAGCAAAAGTCCGAACACTGATTTTATTCCGACCAAAATCCAGCCAGCTTTCAGAGTAATCGGTTCGAGAACGACACGATGTAAATGAATAGATAAAGAACTCAAACCACAAAGACATTGCAGTAAAGAAGAGGTGTAGGATCAGTAAACTGTATGCTATTTGACTAAGCACAGATCACTACTTTGATTTCTATATATTATTTCAATCAAAACAATACAACCACAGCTCCAACTCAAACTCCACACCAAATGTTCATATCTTATTATACAGCAAACCAAAAAACCAGTTTCCACACTCCTTTATCCTCCATTGATGGGCACTCACACATCCAAAAATGGGTTTATAGCAAAAAAAAAAAATAAAAAAATCATATTCTTTGAGAGAACTGAGTTGCACCAGTACCTGGACCAAGCCCAGACAAACCTACTTCTCTTTTCTTCATGGAATGGATTTTCTCCATCTTCAGCTTGGCCCGGAAATTCGTGATGAAACTCTCGGCTTTTGTATTCACATCCGGGCTCTGGCAGAAATTTGGCGAGCCCCCGTCGTCTGTGTCCGGCGACCCGCTTCTGGAGCTTTCTATGCTGTCGATTCTGACGTAATCTCCATGCACCACGAATTTCCAGGCGGGGGTTTTGAAGAATCCTGGCGGCGGAGGTGGAGGAGGCGGCGGGATGAGGTTGTTCAGTGGAGATTCGCCGCTGCTGTTTGAGGTTTCCGGTGGCTTTGATGGCGGCTCGTCGGTGGTTGGTGGTGCGGGGTAGGAAGTGGGTTCCAGTTGTGGCTCGAGTGTCACTTTTATGATTCTCTTTCTCTTATGTTTCTTGGATGAGAACAGGTTCTGGAAGACCGACTGTGTAGGAGGAGGTGGTGGTGGTGGTGGTGTTGGCGGCGGGATCTGGAAGATCGATGGAGTTTGAGCCTCGTGAAGAAGAGGATCTAAGTGGTCGGCGCTCTTTTGCCTCTGCTTTTTCTTCCTTTTCTGGTAAAGAGAATTCAAGAAATCTTTAGTAGGGTTTCCCTTCCGGTCGCTGTTACTGCTCTTTAGCGGCGGCGGCGGAGGAGCTGACGGCGGAGTTGCTGCAATGTGATAATTCACTTCTGCATCTTTCTTCCTTTTCCGACCCGATTTCTCCTTTCTCCGCGCCCCTCTTTGATACGTCCGCTCTACGCTTTCATCCGGCACAGCCGGCGACCTCTGTGCTTTGATTGGATCCGACGGTTCTGAATCTTCCTCCTTCAGCCTCGCGCCCGATACATCCCTCGTTTTCGGATTTTCTTCAGGACAAGGCGCTGCCACTTCCGCCGCCGCCGCCGCCAGCGACGGCTTATTAATTTCGCCTCTTTTGGATTTTGTCAGCAATGTATCAACAAAAACGGTCTTACTCTGCGCCGGTGCTCTCAGATGCTCAACGGCTTCTAAGCTCCGGTGGCGGCGGTGGAAACTACTCCTACCCGGCTCCGGATCCGGGTCGGAAATCCAAATACGGCCCGTATCAACGTGAATGTCGTCAAAATACCTCCTCCGGTAATAATCTCCGTAAGACCAATAATCGGTCGCCGGAAAATCACGCAGGTCGGGGTACGAGCTGCTGTTCCTCGTCAAGATTGAATTTTTACGCTCCAATTTAGCTTCATAATCAGAATACTCATACCAATTGCTCGAATTCGAAAGATTAGACTTCCGCCTCTCAAGTGTTCCGTAATTGGATTTGATTCCATCCTGTTGTTTACTGGGAGAATATTGAAACTCGACATAATTATTAAACCTCTCCTCGTTTTTGTTTCTGCTTAGAAACCCAAACACCACAGCCACCAAAACAAGAACAATGTTCAGAGAATCCCAACTCTTCTTCACACTGTTGGGCCTGAAGATCTGAGAGCTGAGAGAAATGGTTGAGGGCAGAATGAAAACCAAGAAAAACACAGCTGTTACCAGCAGGAGGAAGACCACCAGCCCGGAGCTGAGGAACATTGCAGAGGCGCGGCGGCGGAGGCGGTCCCCACGGCGGGCATTGGTGGTGCTTTGGACCCAGAATGGTGTTAGGTCCCCTCCATCTCCATCCTCCATTTGGGTTTCTCTGTGTGTGATATTGATATTC